ATTTGCTCTCCGATTTTTACATTAAAATGGAATTATGGATTATAAATTCAATACTTTTTTTATACATAGACGTTAAAAACCTATGGATTAACCGATTCAGCCGCGTTTTTTCTCATTTTAATGCCATTGAACACGTATTTTGATCAGATTGACAGCTACGGCGGTGAGACGATCTCCCTAGAAGCTCTGTGAAGGTACGTGTTGTGATGACTGTATTTGCTTCCCCTGTCGCGAGTCCGGATCACTCAGTGATGATACTATGTACCTACATAATCTGTGGAGTCTCAGCTTTAATCGGATATCTTGTATGTGCAGCTATGATAAGTAATAAGGGTACTTTTATCTTGAGATCTGTGCCAATGTCCGTTAGCATTTTTCGCTCAGGGGTCATTTAGATGCTTCTTATGAGACTTGTGTTTTGTTTTGGTAAACATGGTTTGTATCGTCAGTTAGCTGAGATTATTTCCGTTAATCTGGTATAACACATTAATAGGTTCTTAAATATTAAGATCCCCTGAGACACAGTATCGTGAAAAAAAAAAAAATGTACATTACGTTTTTTATGAATTGAACAACAGAAAAATAATCGTTCGATTAGTCGACTAATCGATCAAATAATCGCCCGATTAATCGTTTTCAAAATAATCGTTTCCCCCCAGCACTACACAACACGTACCTTCACAGAGCTTCTAGGGAGATCGTCTCACCGCCGTAGCTGTCAATCTGATCAAAATACGTGTTCAATGGCATTAAAATGAGAAAAAACGCGGCTGAATCGGTTAATCCATAGGTTTTTAACGTCTATGTATAAACAAATTATTGAATTTATAATCCATAATTCCATTTTTATGTAAAAATCGGAGAGCAAATGCTAGCTATGAATGGTTGCCACCACAGCTAGCTGCTGCTTCCGGTCAAGCAGCAGTCTCAGTGAGATATAAATATATAAATATCTTTGCGTTTTGGACTAACTTTAAAATATTCCCATGCTTTTGAAGACCTAGGGCGAGATGTTTTCGTTTGAGGGCTTCGTGCGCAATCCTGTGAGGAGGAGGTGGTAGCCGTTTCAGTCTCCATTGTGTTAGAAGTGCGATTGCGAACTGCTTGTTGCTTTGGGTGACCCACGTGTGTGTGGCGACCATATATACAGTCTATGGTGGCGACTCGTCGACGCGGAAATATGTCGTCGACGATATTTTGAAGTCGACGCGTCGCTACAGCACTAATGTGTACACATATAAATCATTCATTAGTCAAAACAGGGCTACATTTGATTTAATTAAAAGGTATAATATGTGGTCAACTGAAGAGCCGTTTGGGAGCCGAAAGAGCCGGCTCTTCTTGGTGAGCCGAGCCAAATGATCCGGCTCACCAAGAAGAGCTGGAATTCCCATCACTAGTGTGTGTGCAGACTGTCACTCCTGTTGACACGGACAACGTCAGCGAAATAGTGCCCACTGCCCACCAGCCACGCCCCGACAAATAGGGTCACGCCGGCCAATCACAAAGCTTTGATGCGTTCAAGTGCATTATTCTGGCACAGGAAGATTATGTCATAGGACATTAACGATAAAACCGAATTTTGTTGTTCTATTTTTAGACACATCTCGCGATCAACTGGGAATCTCCCCGACTGGTTGGGCACCCCTGCCATAGACTATAAAAGTCTTACCCAAGGCTGAATCATAAACTAAAATGTATATGTAAGCATAAAGGGTTACGTCCTTAGCTGGCTAATAAGTAACAAGCTAAGCTACCAAGCACACAAACACCTGCGAACAGGGTTAACATGTATAATAATATCATTTTAGACTTCTTGGAAGTTCTGTTAGTACATTCAAGCGCACAGCACGACATTGTAATTGTCTGGTATTTGTACAGTAACAATATTCCCTAAAAGGCACAATCACCACGAACACGGCTAAAGCTAAAGGGTCAAGTACAGTACTATGACTAACTAACGTTGTAGCCTCTATGGTTGTAGCCTAGCAGAGTGGACAAGTTGCTGTTAGCTGACAGTGAGGCATGTACGTGTCCATCAAAGTGACCACGCCCTAATTTATGCAAAAACGTTAAGACCTAATATAAATAAAAGGGTCGTGTTAGAAAACGATTCACTCACAGATTCATAATCATGAAGGTGGAATCTAACTATATCGATAATAATATGTATTGCATCCATGGGTAGAAACTAGTGCTGTCAAAATTATCGCGTTAACGGCGGTAATTAATTTTTTGAATTAATTGCGTTAAAATATTTAACGCATTTAACGCATGTGCAGAATGGCCCGCCCCATACGTGCCACCAGTGGCAGCGCCAGGGTATGGCTGGGGTAGGCTACACCCATACTAAGAAATGGCTTAGCCCCACCATGAAAAATGATGTTAAAGTAAGCGAAATAAAGTCTGCCAACTCGCGCGTAGTAAATTGCACAGACAGCAGTTAGTAAGATTGATTTCAGTAGCCACGGTTTTGAAAACTTTTGTCACGTAGTGATCGTCTTCTCAATAGAACATCTTTGATAACGGCTTGGTGTTGTTGCAGGAAGTCCCGACGGAGAATACTTTTGCTGTAGTACAGGGGTGCACATAACTGGTACGCAGGTTATGTGCGTAATCTGAAATGCGTACCGTCACTTGTGTCACAAAGCGCATTTGCGTACTGACGTACTTGTGAATCTTTTCCAGAAGGCGGTTAGATCACCGGACGACAGAGTCGGTCTCCGTGTGCACAGACAGGGCTGCTGTTAACGTCGGTCTGTACAACGGAATTGTGCCAAAACTACACCAACCGGCTGCGGAGGGAGACTCCCCCCCTTCACTGGAGAACTGCGCTAAAACAGCTGATCACAACGTTCACACTCTGTGGTCACGAAGTACTCCACTAGCCGCCCCCCCCCTCTGTCGACTTTCCTGAAGTACTCCCCCGTTGATAGAAATCAACACGTAATGAATTAAGACCCCACGGTTTGATGATTGATAGGTGTGTGGGTTGTCTTTCATTTTGACACACAGAACAATGTTATAATAAACATAGATACTGTATGTTAAATGGATATATCCGCCTTCTTTCATTTATCTTTCCATTCCCACAACAATATACATAAATAAATGGCATATTTTGGAAAATAGTTCGAATGGTGATTAATCATGATTAATTAATTTTTAAGCTGTGATTAATCTGATTAAAAATTGTAATCGTTTGACAGCCCTAGTAGAAACATGTTTTTTTCTGCTGTAAAGTTGGGCATTTTAACATGGGGGTCTATGGAAATTGCTCCTTTCTGCAGCCAGTCCCTAGCGGCCCATGTATGAACTGCAGTGTGTGGCACTTCCATATTGGCGTCCCGGCTGTTCCCCAGAGTTTGCCGCTTGATATTAACCTATGGATTAACTACATCGTTTTTATCGTTTTAATGCAATTGTTTCCTGTTTGCTGCGTGGGGTCTGAGAGACACCACGGAACTCAGCCTGAGTATGTGTGCCGGCGAAGCTCCGCGGAGTACCGCGGCTGAGAAAAGATAAGGCTGAGTGAGTGTGTGTGAGGAGCTCCGCGGTTTGGTCCGTTTGGACCTGGGTATCGTTACGTCACTATACTCAGGAAGAAAAAAAATGGAAAAATAAAAATCTCCAACGAGACGTTCTGGGGCAGCACAGACAGGTATTTTCTGTGTTTAGAGTTTTACTCGCTACAGGGTGTACTTTGAGGGTTTGTGAGTAGTAATACACATGCCGCATCAATCTCATTAGTATGCATAAAAAAGTGACATGTCACACCTCTACTACTTATGCAAATGAGCTAAGTCCCGCCTCCCATTGGTCGAGGTGTGATATCCCAAGTGTGAATTCCCAAGTAGGTGTGAGATCCGTCGAGAGGAGGGGGTGATGTGTATTCACAGGTGTGAAATGCCCCCCACTGTTGCGCCTTATGGTGCCTACAAATAAATAAAAATGCTGCTTCAATCACATTAGTATACATAGAAAGTGACAGGTGGGCCCGCCCCCGTGTGTGTGGTGTGTGTGTGTGTGTGTGTGTGTGTGTGTGGTGTGTGTGTGTGTGTGGTGTGTGGTGTGTGTGTGTGTGTGTGTGTGTGTGTGTGGTGTGTGTGTTGTGTGTGTGGTGTGTGTGTGTGTGTGTGTGTGTAGGTGTGTGTGGTGTGTGTGTGTGTGTGTGTGTTGTGTGTGTGTGTGTGTGTGTGTGTGTGTGTGTGTGTGTGTGTGTGTGTGTGTGTGTGTGTGTGTGTGTGTGTGTGTGTGTGTGTGTGTGTGTGTGTGTGTGTGTGTGTGTGTGTTGTGTCTTCCCCTAACCCCTGCTGTGGACCTGGGCTACATCAAATCTTATTTTAGCCCCTAAAGAAAAGCCCCCCATAAACATAATAATTAAAGAATAGTATTGATGTGTGTTACCACTTTCCTTCTTCATCAGACAGCCCTTTCTAACGGGAATCTAAACTAAAATCTTCTATCGTTTCAAAGCCTGCCTCCCTCCCCCTTCCTTCTGTGGTGATGCATGTATAGACGGCGTGTGTGATATGTCTACCTGGGTTTATAAGGAGATCTAATTTCTACAGCAAGAGAAAGGTGATGATGAACCATCCTGGCATTTCTTCTCTGCGTTTTCCCGACCTGGATCTGATCCTGAAAAACTATGGTAAGTACTTAATATCATTATTAAATGTTGTATGGTGTGTGTTAAACAACCTCTGTGTATATATTGTATTTATTGTGTATTAGCACTATGATTCATAATGGTTTTTAAGTTTTTGGGGAGACTGTTAACTAATGTTGAAGTACTTTAGTTTATAAAGGGATGGAGTCTCACACTGTGTGTGTGTGTGTGTGTGTGTGTGTGTGTGTGTGTGTGTGTGTGTGTGTGTGTGTGTGTGTGTGTGTGTGTGTGTTGTGTGTGTGTGTGTGTGTGTGTGTGTGTGTGTGTGTGTGTGTGTGTGTGTGTGTGTGTGTGTGTGTGATCCTGTCCTCATCCCCCTTCCTGCCATCTTATCAGTAGAGAGAGGGGGGATGGAATTTAAAAACAGGTACCTTACACTTGTATTGTTCTCTCTAAAACACATTGTCAGTAAAGTTGGGGGAGACTGTCTCCCCCCCCTTCCTGCCATCTCTCTATGGTTTTTTGTTGTAATGCCAGTAGACAGAGTGGTGGAATTAGTTTAAAACAGTCACCTTACACTTTAGTTGTCCTCTCTAAATTAGATTTAAGGTTTTTAAAATTATTAGTGTTAATTAAGGGCTATTGTTATTTTGGTTTCTAAGGGGATAGGTGTTCAATTTTTAAAAAAATGCACAGGATCATTCTAAGAAGAGTGAGAGGGCTAATGAGCCAGCACCATACTTCCTCTATGCGTTTTCTTGACCTGGATCTGATCTTGAAAAACTCTGGTAAGTACTTTTTATTTTATTTTATAATATCATGTAATTAGTTAATGTTGCTTGGTGTGTGTTAAACAACCTCTGTGCATCTGTTGTATTTATTTTGTAACAGCACTAGGCTCGTAATTATTTAGAAGCTTTGGGAAAGTACCCCTCTATGTACAAATAATGTAGTGTAGATTTTTAATCAAATCTTTTTTGTGTGTGTCTCAGTTCAGGAAAGTCTGAACCAAATACGAATTGGAATATTAGAGAGGCTTAACTCTTTTGGTGGAACCCCATATGGTTCATTCCCTGTGGAAAGTGAGTATATATGTATTTAAAACTGTATGCTCCTGCACTCACGTGCTGCAGTCAGTGAGTGTTGCCAGGTATACTTATTATAAGCCACATTGGGCTTATCTTTCTGTAAAGTTGCTTGGTAGTAAGTAATAATGGTTGTGAGCTTGTAGATTATTTATTTTCAAATAGCCGACACGACATATATAGGTTTAAAGTGCTCATGTACTTTTGCGCTTGTTTTCATAGACCTGGGGCCTCATTTATAACGCCGTGCATAGGATTCACGTGGGAAGGTTGCTTACGTAGTAGAAATCCAAAAAATAGGTACAGAAATCTTCCGACATTTTCCGATTCACCAAACATTGCGTACCGGCGAGGAAAGTGCGTACAGTACTTCCTACGCCGGTGTCAGTACCAGATATGTTCGGGCTACCAGATATGTTCGGGTGTATTTCCGTCGCATCCGTCATCCGTCATATCCGTCATATACTCACCTCCCTCTGCTCCCAGCGCTCTGCTGCCACACACCCGGCCGTCTGCGGAACTGCAGCCGGAGTAACTCGGGACAGCTTGTTATGTGTGGGGTGCCATGGTGGGGTCCCATGTACTTGTGCACATAAATAATGTTTCTAATTATTTACAATTAAAAAATATATATATTCTGCGTTACTTTAGCCAACACTTTTATAAGGCCACTAGATTAGATAATTACGAAATGTGTAGATAGAATACATATATTTCAGGTTGTTATTTTGTCATTATGTTTAATGTTTTATTTACCTTTTAGTATTTGTATATAGTATCTGAACTTTGGAAAGGAGTTGGGAGACACACGACACATCAAATCACATCTACAGATCAAGGCGAAGCGAATGGATGTACTCCCATACTCCTAGCGTGAAAATGTTTGTGAAAACGTGTGCAAAGTCTCAGAAAATCCTAAAAATAAGCTCATATTTGAATTCCCCATAAAAAAAACACATAATTCAGTAAAAACAAGGCCCCACTGATCATCTACTCTCTGAGACGATTCCATGGATTTCTGGCTTGAGTTTCGGCCACCAGGGAAAGTGGACAAAAGTGCCCGAGATCAGCCTCTTAATTTACCCAGGGCCTAGTGCTTGGCTTTGGGCATGAAAATTCAGGAAACTCCCCTGAGTATTTTATTAAATATCTGAACTTTGGAGATACACATCAAATCACATCTACAGATCAAGACGAAGCTATTGGAAGTACTCCTAGCGTGTGAAAATGTTTGTGAAAAACATGTGCAAAGTCTCCGAAAACGGAGCAGTGGCTGTGATGCTAGCTTTGCGGCTAGCGGTTAGTTGTTATTGTTTGAAGTTGTTGCTATGGAAACAACATGACGGAGAACAAATTAATATCTTCTACATATAATAACGGACAAAGTAAAGAATGAAGTGTAGGCTATGCCTGTTTGAAGTTGTTGCTAAGGAAACAACATGACGGAGAAAAAGTATAATCTTCTACATATAATAACGGACAAAGTAAAGAATGAAGTGTCGGCTATGTTTAAATGTTCGGAATTTGACCGTGATGGCCCTCTTGAGTTGCCGTAAAATATGACGAATATGACGGATGACGGATGCGACGGAAATACACCCGAACATATCTGGTAGCCCGAACATATCTGGTACTGACACCGGTTTCCCGACTCGAAATGCGGTGCAGCTTTTGCGGGCTTCATGTAACGCCCATATTTGCCTATAAATAGTCAAAGAAACGCCCATTCATTCATTCATTTTGACTGACTTTATGAAGAAGATAGCAGGAAATGATGACAGAACAGCTAAAAAAGACATCTCACACCGTGCAAGATTTTGGTTATTGTGGGGAGGTCGAGATAAATCATATTGTTTGGTGGATGCAGTTTGAACCAGAGTAGCAGCATGGCGGTCGGATCGTCACTCAAAATAAATAAATAAGTGGTCCGAAAAAGGTTAATGACCAAAAAAATACACTTCCTCAGGCAATGTATTTGTACCGGGGACAGGAGACACCCCCTTGATGAGAAACTGTAAGAAATGATCGGGGAATCCCCCCGGTGTGGAGTCATGATGACTGGATCTGAATTATTTGTTTGTATTTGGTGGTTTGTGTTCCAGCTGTCGATCAGCTGTGCGCAGCGTCTCTGCTGCAGCCTGTGCATCTCAACCCCCCCTCCCGGCAGCAACTCTATATCCACCAGTTAAAGGAAATACAACTAATGTGTTGCGTTAGGCTATATTAGCTGTACAATTGACCACATATGGTGTTCTTAGTTTCCATACCTCCTGTGTTTTACGAGCGACTTATCAAGTCTTGGCAAACGGCATAAATAAATAAACACGATTAAACATGATAGTAGGCCTATATAAAACCATGCTCAATGCAAAACGGCGTCAGTTTAGACGTAATTCTGTCCTCCTGCTTACCGCATCATTTATGAGAAAACATTTCATAACATTAACACTTGACATATTCGAGGTGGTTTTAGCATATCCGTATTTATTTATTTATTTCTCTCCAAGTTATGTTTTTGTGTGCACTGAGGAGTCTCAAACAGGCGTTTTGTTTAATCATTTTAAGATTGGCTTTAATCAATGTTTGAAAATGAATTCTTCATATATGATAAATGAGAGGTAACGTTTTATTTATGGTAGCCTATTATTTCCACATATTTCTCTCCATTCTTCCTTCTGCCAACGGTGTTGCAGTTTCTCGTCTCTCCCGTTTTTGTGCTTAGTGCGTACGCATGGGTCAGAGTTTGCGTGGAGGACCGCACATTTTCCCGTCAAGTTAGTATTTTATAAATCGAAAACATTGCGTAGAAACTGGCGTACGCCATTTTTTGAGCGTATATCCCTTTATAAATGAGGCCCCTGGTTGCTTATTCCTTCCGCAAAAACTGGCAACACTAGTGGCTGCAGCGTTAACACTGCATGAGAGGAGGAGAGACAGACAGAACACTACCATTTGCATGCGATCATGGTACTTTAATGTTAAATGTATAGAGTATCTTTGCTTTACATCGTTTAAGTATGATTGACATTGCAAGTTGGTATTATTCAGAAGCAAAATAATAAAAATAAAATAAAATAAAAATCCGCATGACGTCATAGGATCGCCGTAATTTCGCATAGGTGTCTGAATCGAGATCACGATCTTTTTTCGATTAATCGTGCAGCACTAGTCAAGAGTGGGACAATCTTTTCCCGGAAGGAAAAGCAGTTCAGTCTTGTCAAGGTTGAGCTTGAGGTGATGAGCAGACATCCACTGAGAGATGTCAGCTAGACAAGCAGAGATGCGTGCGACGACCTGGGTCTCTGAGCGGGGAAAGGACAGAATTAATTGGGTGTCGTCAGCGTAGCAGTGGTATGAAAAACCATGCGGGCTAATTACAGATCCGAGCGAGTTTGTGTACAAGGAGAAGAGGAGGGGACCAAGAACAGAGCCTTGAGGGACCCCTGTAGTTAATTGACAAGGGTCGGACTCCGACCCTCTCCAATTAACCCTGTAGGTGCGGTCTTTGAGGTATGAGGTGATGAGGGAAAGTGCAGAGCCTGCAAGATCACTGATTGTTAAGATCTGCAGGTATACTGCTTTTCAATACTTAGGAATTTATATATGTCCAGCTTTGATCTAGTACCATGGGTATACCCATATTTCCAACTATTATTATGAGAAACATGTTTCAGAAAAAGGTTTTGAAACAAAGTTCACATGAAAGGATGATAAGACTATAAACCTTTTTTCAAGGCTGGTTCATTTTTCTGCCAGAAATATATTTGTTGCAGCTTTCAATTAACATTAATGGTCACCCATAGTAATGTAGTCATAAGCTACATTTCAATTTCAATGTAAGGCAGTAATACCAACATGCTTGACCTCCTAGCACCTTAGGGCGTTTCTCTTCCTGAAACGCCTCCATTGGACTCCTTTGTTTGTTTGGAGTTCGGACATCTCTAGGTGGTTGGCCAATCACAACAGAGCCGGCCAGCTAACCAATCAGAGCAGACTGTGCTCTGGTTTGAGACAGAGGGTGAAAAGAGGTGCTGCAGTATGAGAAAAAAAAGGTCACAATATTTTATAATACACTGTTCATTTGTACATGTGTTAACAGTCCTTATATCCACATATTATATACTATTACAGTATATATATTTAAAAAAATATTTTCTATTTCCTTTGTACATATTGTTCCTATTCCCGTGACTCTTTGTCTATTGCACTATTTTATGTCTTTTTTTATAGATTGAAGATTTATATTTCCAAATTGTTTCTGTAGCTATTGTGCATATGAATATATCAATCTCTTATTTCCCCGTTTAAAATGCACTTTGTTGCTACTCATACAGATATCTACATGAAGAATTGAATGCAGACTTTTAAAGTGCAGGTGTTGAAATAGCCCAGTTTGATGGATGTGGTTATTCCAATGAGCAGTTCTGCAAAACCCATGAGTTCCGTTCAAATGAATCACAACGCTTTCAAAACCATGCTGTTGAATTAAATGGAGTGTGCTAAACTGTCTCTTAAACTCTCCCAATCCACTACTGGATGTGTGCACATAATAATTTAGCCTTCTAAAACCTGGTGCATGAATACCTTTATTGACTATTTAATCCAGTATAACTTTCTTGTTTAATCACCTTCTCTTATTATTTTTGGAAAAAAACCTTCGTCCGTCATAGTTATAAAGATATTAATTAAAATGTGTGTGCTGCTGCTGAATGCCACGGATTTATTCTGGTTCTTCCTGACTCAACTGAGATGATCTTTACAAAAGCAAAAATTTGTTTGTCACTAAGATTATGGTTTATCAGAGAGAGTTAGCAGGTGGCCATTGTTTACAGAAAAGACAGAAGATAAAATAAAAGTTGAGAATATAGTCAACTATGTGATAGCCCTCACAGGTAGCTACTACTTTTAAGCTGTGTTGACATTAGTTATGTAAGAGTACCCAAAGTGTGGCCTGATGGTGTGGATTTCTGCTGGGAGGGTGAATGTACACAACAGCT